TTAGAAAGTGATAGATAGATAGATAGATAGATACAAACAGACTGAGATAGATAGATAGATAGATAGATAGATAGATAGATATGAAAAGAATTGGATAGATATGAATAGAATGTTATAGATAGATAGACAGAGAGACAGATATGAAAAGAACGAGATAGATAGACATAAACACAAAATGTGATAGATAGATAGATATGAAAAAGGATGAGATAGATAGATAGATAGATAGATAGATAGATAGATAGATAGATAGATAGATAGATCTGAAACAGAATGGAATGGATAGATACGAACAAGCTGAAGATAGATAGATAGATAGATAGATAGATAGATAGATAGATATGAAATAGAATGGAATAGATAGATAGATAGATAGATAGATAGATAGATAGATAGATAGATAGATAGATAGATAGATATGAAACAGAATGGGATAGGTAGATAGATACGAACAAGCTGAAATAGTGTTGAAACTTGACTAATGCATGGAATAATAATACAACACAAAATGTTCTTAGAACAAAATGTATTGAAACAAGAAAGTGTACACAATATTTACATATAGTCTTTTGTATATTCCTGGGAAGATCGTTCCTGGAGAATGTGTTGACTTAGTCGCAGTCGGGCAGAGTCTCTGGATTGGATCTCTTGAATCCCCTCCTCTCTTCCCGGTACCAACCATATTTATATATTCGGTACTCCACTATGCAAATTAGGTGGATCCTACCACAACAAATAGATAGATAGATAGATAGATAGATAGATAGATAGATAGATAGATAGATAGAATGCACCAAATAGTTGTAAACAGTATTGTATTGAAAGTGAGATGACTTATATTCCTTATAAGCTGATGACGTGCCTGAGTCGGCCATTAATTTATTTTCAAAATAAATTTAGGACAGAACACTTGCAGATGCATCAACTGGGCTTAGTGTTATTCTGATACGCGGTCGCACGCTCAGAGTACTTAAGGCACATGAAACATAAATACACATATATAAACTGATTGATAATCTTGAAAACTGCTCGTGTATTGGTCGACCTCAGCCTAATGAAACAAGCAAGAGATGTATAAGGCATAGTCTGCGGATAAAAGCTGAAAACAATTCCTGAAACTTTTTTTTTCAGAAATAACCTTTGAATAAATGGAGGCAAAATCTTAAAATGTATCATAAATATTTTTGTTATTTCATTTTTTATTTTTATAGAACTTTAATATAAAGTCTATTTTCTGTATGGACGTTGAGTGAGAGTTTGAACTTTAGCACTAACGGAATATATATATATATATATATATATATTAAAGACATTTTTTTATGTTTAACGTTCTTTTTTATGGATACAAGTATTTAAGTAAATGCTCTGTTTTATAATAAACAGTATTAAATAACATTTACCGGCCTGAATGTCCGAGAAATTTTCATAGAAAATATTCGTCCTTTGACAGGATTCGAACCTGCATCCTATACAGAACAAATTATTTACGCTGCCGTGCCTTACCGGTCGGCCACAAAAAATCAATTCGGTAGAAAAGGTCGAATTTACTGCTTATAAACTTCAATGTTCTTTCTTAATATATATATATATATATATATATATATATATATATATATATATATATATATATATATATATATATATATATATATATATATATATATATATATATATATATATATATATATATATATATATATATATATATATATATATATATATATATATATATATATATATATATATATATATAGTCACTTCATCAAAAGGGTGATTTTTTTGATAATATCAACCTAGAGAGACTTGTAGTACCGATCTGGTTGATATGCTTTTCTTTTCTTTTTTTTTTTTTTTTTGACAGTTTATCAACCCTTTGTATGTTATTTAAAACCCAAACATATTTTGTATTAATTCCTTTTTAGCGAGTAAATATTGCTTTAAGAATGTTTGGAGGACAACGCTGATTTTTCTAGATACAAGTCCTATTATTTAACCCATAGCTTGAGGGAGAGGAGAAGTAGAGTCATCCCTTTATCAAAGGGGATTTGCGCTTAAGTGAAAATAACGAAGACGACTGGAATTTGAACTCGGTTCTGCACTTTCTCATTACGAGTCACTATCCATTACACCACCCGCACATCGATGCATCGCGAGGAAGCAACATGAAAACCATATCAGCTCTAGTGACTGGCAGTAGGGTAGACGAAAATGATTTGAAGCCGTCTTTTGCTGCGTTATTACGAAATTATTCCTGGCATTTTTTAACTGGGTCTCAAACATGCATACTTTAGGTTTGTTTAATGTCAAATTGTGGAATGAGGCACATAGTGAGGATCAAAGTTGTTACTCCGGGGTTTTAGTAATAACGTTAGTTTAGTTTGGTTGATTTTATAGTTTGTTTGATATCGATCCTTGTTGGTTTATATAACGTAGGATTTTTAAGAGGCACCCAGTGAGGATCGAACTCACTATTCAGTAGTTTCCGTCGTAATGTTATGTC